TATATATATATATATACACACACACATACACACACATACATACACACAAACACACAAACACACCCATTATTGAAATAATTTTAAAGTGCTTTTGGCTCAGGGTGTAATGACATCCCTAATGTATCCCAGCAGGAAGAAAAGATGCCAAATGTGGGTCATAAGTCAAGTGAGCTCTGAATGGAGGGATGAAGTTTACTCATACCTATCTAGATTATGATCCTTTTTTTTTTCTCTTCTCTTCAGGTGAGGCTTGACTTATGTGATGTCATAGACACCATTGACCAATCAAATTACTCCAGAGGTTCATGTACGGCAGCAGGCAAGCAGCACTCACACATGTGCATGTGCGCACGCGCGCACATACACACACACACACACACACACACAGGCGCAAGCACATGCACACGCCCTCACTCCCCGCCATGTTACTCTCCTGGTACCCCCCACCCTGGCTGACACAAGCGCAGATGTACAAAGACGCATGTACGACATGACAGTTACTTCTCCTTGGATGACATCATCTCGGCCTTTCTTCCTTCCCGCAGGATGTGACATCACCAGTGTGAGGCTCCAGTCTGCCTGTTTCGCTACTCTATATATATATGTATTTGCGGCTGTGTTACTTTGTCTTGAATTATGTGGGATATTCTTGTAGAAAATAGAAATAATACAAATGATTTTTTTGTGTCTTTCTGTTGGGTATTTTATTTCTCGGTGTATGTACAGGGTAAGGGCTGTTACTGCTTCCCTCCTTTCTCCTACTTCCCGCCACCCCACCTCCCTGTCTCTGTCCCCTGTTGTCCCCGCTGCCTGTGCCTATGGTTTACAACAACAGTCAGGTCAGATAAATAAATGGTTGAAGGGGGCTTGCTTCTCCTAGATCATACTTCTATTCTTTCTCCTCTTTTTTTTTCCTTGTCTCTATTTTCCTTTTTCTTTTCTTGCACTAAATTACCTTTATCAAGTTGAATGATGTTAATATGCTTCTTTTTACTCCAGTCTAAACCTTGTGGGATGAGAAAGATTGGCAGGTGGTTGGCGGGTTCTCTGCCGGGGTTTGCTCCTTCTGTCCTATCAGACATCTGTGGTCCTGATCTCCCCTCCTCTTTTTTGTGTGTGTTTTTTTACTCTTGTAACACCTCTAATTTTCTTCACTTGTATGACCTTATTGTGTTGCAAGTGCTGTAAAACTCTTACTAAAACCAATCAAGAGAACATACAAAGGTGTCACGGGAGTGGGTCCCTGTAATAGCTTTCCGTTCTCGTGAAAGGACGCAACAACCGCGGAGACTTTGTTTCCTCATCTGTCAATAAATTATGTCTGTCAGAAAGAAATACACGTCTGCAATGCTTTTGTCGTTTTTTTCAATTTCTTTTGAATCCTTGAACGTTCATTCTTACAGTTTTACATCTGAATCATTACTTTTTAGAAAATTGTCTTGGAATTTATTTTTTTTTTAAGGCAGTTTTTGTGGGAAGCGTTCACTACATTTATTGCTGCTTTGTATGGTTCTATGTCTGTTCTTCATAGTGAAGGAATACGCTGTACTTAACTGTGTCTGAGACAACAACCTTTTCGAAATATATACAAATTCTTATGCCTCTTCTTCTATATCTCTCACAGATTCTCTCTCTCTGTCTTTCTCTCTCCGTCTCTCTCCCCCCCCCC